CACCTCCATGAACACGCACCTCCATGAACACACACCTCCATGAACACACACCTCCATGAACACGCACCTCCATGAACACGCACCTCCATGAACACGCACCTCCATGAACACGCACCTCCATGAACACGCACCTCCATGAGCATGCACCTCCATGAACACACACCTCCATGAACACACACCTCCATGAACACACACCTCTATGAACACACACCTCCATGAACACAAGTGCAGCTCTTTGTTACCTGTATCTCTTTAACAGGAAAGTTCCAGCACAGCCCTGATTCCCTGTTTCCCAACCACAGGGCGGATGACAGGTGGTTAGGACGAGGTCCTCCTGTGCAGGCAGCTGCCACGGCAGCTCACAGCACAAAGATTCTGAGGCCTCTGACAACTCCGTGCCGTGGCACTGGCTGCTGGTGGCCCTTTTCTAATCACTGTGATTGGACAGGAAGCAAGTTCATGGAGGGAAGATTCACTCTGACTCATGGTTTGAAGGAACACAGTTCAGTTCATCATGGTGTGTCAGTGTGAGCAGCTAGTTCCTGGAACTGCCGGGTGGCTTGCTCACATCTCAGAGGACCGAAAAGGAGGGAAGGTGGGAACGAGGGTGAAAGGGAGGGAGAGTAAGAAACTGGTCCCAGAAGCAGAGCTGAGACCTGCCCCCAAGGACTCACTTCTTTTAGCCAGGCCTTACTAAATGTTATGCAGGTTCCCAAAACAGCGCCCCCATCTGGGGACCAAGTGTTCAAACATCGGCGTTTGTGGAGGACAGTTCACATTTAAACCACAATTTCTGCAGATTTGCTTGGTCAGTTTCCCCTGAGCTGTCTGGTGTTCCGCTGGCATCTGCCCATGCTCACAGCAGTGGACAGGCTGTGTGTAATCTTGGAAACATTGCAGGTGACAGGCTAGTTTCTGAGACTTGATTATCAAGCGTGGTGCCATTAACTCGGTGTTGGCTCTTTGGCTCTGGATGTCATTTTTAGCATGTGGTTGCTTAGGCAACATTACCTCAACATCTTCTAACCTCTGATTTTCTTTTCACAAGAAATTTGCAACTATATTAGATGCTGTAGAGCTAAGTGTTCCTAATTTATCTGTCTCCTATATCACAATGATTTGGAAGCATTGGCAGATAGCTACTTGGCTACTTCTCACCTTTTAGATGATCCAAAGGCATGCATTCAAATGGTTATGAAAACAGCTATGCCTCTTAGAAGCTTCTGAAGAGTCTACCTCAGGTGTCTTTACACTAAGAGCCATTGGGAACATTGTTCTTGAACAGATGGATCGACTCAGGTTGTGACCAAGGAACACTTGGTGTTCCTCAAAAACTAGCTAGACTCAGAACTAACATTCAGAAGGAAACCCCACCATAACTGGCCATCAGAACCAGATCAACAATCTGCGTGTTATGGATTCATCCCATCATTCATTGACATTCTAAGGCAAACTTTAAATTACAACAGTTATATGGGTTGTGACCAAATCCGTAAGTTGTGAACCAGTTAGGCAGATTATATACCAATCATTGAGGCACAATGGAACCATCAAGGAGGCTCCTCACAGCTAAAGACACTAAGATCATTCTGTTTGATCTAGATGCCACTTCAAGGATCTTTCATGCTTCTGAGAAACTCACCACACCTAAACAATGTGGGGCTCAGACCCAATGAAGCTCCGCAAACCCATGGAAGCAAGCCTATGTGAGCGGCCTCATGAGCAACTTAGCAAGTGTTTCCCAGGAGAAGCCAAGACGAAACTGTGCCAGAAGCAATCTCTGATATCTACTCATTCCAAGTTCAGGATGAATGGCACCCCTGGGACCTTTAACTTTTGGATTATACATCTGAGGTGTTACGGGTTGTTGTGTATGTTATGTATGGTCTTATATAAGTTTGTCTTATTTATTTATTTTTTGGTTTTTTGAGACAGGGTTTCTCTGTGTAATTTTGTGCCTTTCCTGGAACTCACTCTATACCCCAGGCTGGCCTCAAACTCACAGAGATCCACCTGCCTCTGCCTTCCGAGTGCTAAATTTAAAGGCATGCCCTACCACCGCCTGGCTTATAGTTTTGTTGTTGTTGTTATTGTTGTTGTTTTGGTAGTTTGTCTTATTTTAAGCACACACACACACATACACACACACACACACACACACACACACACACACACGGAACCTTGGAGGTGACTTGCACTACAGCCATTGTGCTAACACAGGGAATGTGCCTGGATTTGGAATCACCTAGGAGACACACCTCTTGGGGTGTCTGTGAGAGGTTTAACAGGGGAAGAAGACCCACTCTGGACACAGGCAGCACTAGTCCATGGGTTGGGGTTGGCTGAATAAAAAAGGGGAAAGAAAAAAAAAAGGAAGATGAGCAGCAACATTCAGCTCTCTGCTTCCTGAACCCAGACGCGATGTGACCACCTGCCTTCCACCCCCATGACTTCCCACCATGATAGACTGTACCCTCAAACCTGGAGCCAAAACAAACCCATCCTTCCTCTCACTGCCTTTGTTGATGTTTTGCCACAACAATAAGAAAAGCAGTCAGTTCAGTTGCTCTCTGGGGAAATATGACTCGATGCTAAGCATAGCCTGGATTTAATGGAGCTGGTCACATTGCTTGTCTATGGTGTCAAATCACTCAAAGAATGGCCTATAGAGCACCCTGTTTTTTATTTTAATATAGTCCCTTTAAGGCCCTGAACCACCAAAGACTACCAGGCTCCCAATGGCCTCTCCTCTCAGCTCCTCAAGGTAGATGTTACCTCTGCTCACACTCTTCCCATCTGCCTGGCGTAGGCACAGCCCAGAGGGGAAGTCCATGAATGTGTGACACAGACATACCCAAACATGGCGACCAGGAGGTTGACCAGCAGGATGTTGGTGGAGAGCATGTAGATGCACACCAGAGGGATGGTGATCCACTCAGGGAAGCGGGGCAGGTTGTTCTCATCCAGCTCCACACACAGAGGCTTGGACTCATTTCCCGAGAAGGTGCAGTGGGAAAAGTCATATGTAGTACCTGTGGGCACAGAACCAGGAGGTCAATGAGACCCCTCTGGAGAAGCAAGGACCATGGCAGACCAGAGGATGTGGGATCAGAATCACCTGATGCCTTGGGTACAATCATCAGAACCCCATGCCCACCAGACAGCTTCCTGAGCAGCCACTGGGAAATCGGGACTTCATTAAGACCAAGATCAAAGGATGAGGATATCCTAGTTAGCCTCAGTTGTCAACTTGACACAGCCTAGAGTCACCTGAGGGAGTCTCATTAGAGGGGTTGCCAAGATCAGTATGGCCATGTCTATCAGAGATTATCTTAATTGACTGACGTGGGAGGGCCCAGCCCACTGTGGGAAGTGCCACCTCTAGGCAGCTGGAAGGAGGGTAGAGGTACAACCTAGGATGTATTAGAAGGCTAGCTAAGCATTTTCCAGCCAGACAGCTAGCAAGCAGCACTCCTCTGTGGGTCCTACCTCCAGGTTCCTGCCTCAAGTTCCTGCCCTGATTTCCCTCGGTGATAAATCATGAGCTGGAAGTGTTGCCTTTGGTCAGCATGTCTTACCACAGCAACAGAAACTAGAACAAGGAGTGTGGCCTTGTTCTGTGCTGCAAGAAGCATCCAACCTCTTCAGTCAGTCTGAAGATTCAACCTTCACAAAGCCCCAAAAGGAAGTAGGCAAGGTGCAAGGGGGCCAGAATCTGAACTGGCTCACCCAGAAGCAGCTTCCCACAGAGAAACCACCTCAGAAAGAACAGAAGGGTGAGTGACAGCTGAGTGAGCAAATGGGCAGGGACAGGTGCCCAAGGCAGTGGTGGCAGCACACTCCAAGGCTCTGTGGTCATAAGACAGAGGGTTGGGAGAGGAAACGGAGCAGCGTGGCATTGCCAGATTGCTGTGCTTTTAACGGAAGCCACGGGCACAGTTAGAGAGTTGTAACAGAGAGCAGATCTTTACCAGAGGACTGCCAAGGCTGCAGCACACAGCTGAAAGATCCAGAGGACCCAAGGAGAGCACTGGCGATAAGAACGCTCGACCTGGGGTTGCTGTGGGATTGTGAAAATCAACTAAGCCGGCGAGCGCCAGCATCTAGGATCAGTGTCAGGGAAGGCGTTGGGAGTTAATCTTGATTCCAGAGATTTCAACCCTCAGTTGAAATCGGGCAGTTCCTTCCCATGGGCTGAGGAAGAGAGCTGAGCATCAGCAGTCCTCTCTCTCTCTCTCTCTCTCTCTCTCTCTCTCTCTCCTTCCTATGAAGGTGATGAGATGAGCCCCCTCTCTCTCCTGCCACCATGCCTTCCCGGCCATAATGGACTGACTGCGCACCCTTGAACCCTTTTCTTCCTTACCTGGTTTCTGTTGAGTATTTTGTCACAGCAAATGACAGTAACACAGGTCTGTCAAGGACCTCAGAGGTCTGACATACTGGATATAGGGGGCGTGGCTCAGTGGTGGAACACTTCCCTAGCTAGTATAAGGCCCCGTTTGGTCCCCAGCATGGGAGTGGGGTGTCACAAAGAGGCTCTGATGTACACCACTGTGGCCTTGGTGGGAAAAGCCCAGCAGGGCCCTTGGAGGAAGCCCAGGTCTGCAAGGGAGGTGGGGACCTTTTATTTGAACTAGCCAATATGGGTCTGTGTGAGTTCAGAGAAGGCCACAGAGACCGAGTCTCTGGCTCTGAGGAGGGGCACCCAGCCAGAGCCCCTGTTCTCAGCCCTGACAGCAGGGCTGTGTAGGAAGATGCGGCTGTGCCAGGTAGCCCCGGAAAGAACTCAGAGGATGAAATGTGCACACAGCACACATGCCTGCCCCGGCCTGCCCCTAAGTGTGGCTCCTCTGTGGGACCAACCCACCAGCACAAGGAGCTGTCCTTGAGACCAAGTGCATGACAGCGCCAACTGGAGGGTCCCAAGGACCTTTCCACCCCTGCATGCATGGAAAAGTCCTGTTTCTCAGAGTCGGAAGAGGCTTCAGCTGAGAGGCAGAGTACAGGAGGGGAAATCAGAGGAGCTGAGAAATGCTACCCGCCCTGGCTCAAGGAGACTGTCAGTCAGTGTAGTTCGTGCTGGTAGGATGGAAGACGAGAAGTCAGGGCTACTGTCAGCATCATGAAATCCCTGCTCACAGTCCGCCCAGAACACACAGGTGTGTATGCCCCATACCTGACTTCTACAGCCTGAGTATGGGCACAATAGAGCCACCATGCCACAGCAGCCTTACTCCACAGCCTGCTGGAGAGCGGGCTAATGATGGAAGAACCTTCAACCGAAGGCGCTGATGTCCATCTTCTACACACTTGTTAGGAATAAACGGGAATCTGGACATTGTGACGTATAGGGAGGTACCGTCGACAACATTCCTGTCTGAACCAGCAAGGACTGTCCCACCCTACCCTGCTAACTGAGATATGTCATGATTTTTAAAAACTTGAGCATGTGGCTCAGTTGGTAGAGTACTTGCCTAGCATGCATGAAGCCCTGGGTTCAAGCCCCAGCATGACAATAACCAGGCATGGTGGCACATGCCTTTAATTTCAGCAAGGGTGGGAGGATCAGGAATTCAAGGTCATCCTTCACTACATAGGAAACTCAAGGCCAGCCTGGGCTAGAGACCTTGTCTCAGAAATACTGACAAAGAAATAAAAAGACGTAAAGATTGAACTGAGAACAAGGTAAGATCTTATTTAGGAGCAAAGAAAGGAGGTGTAAAGATCAGGGACAGGTCCAGGATGCCAGCACCATCACCGCCAGCCCCACCGCTGCCCACACAGAGCCGGGCTTACCGTCCACGTCACTGGGCACCTGGCCAAACATGGCCAGGTAGGGCTCATAGATGACAGAGCGGAAGATCCACCTCCAACGCTGCTCGTTCTGCCTGAGGATCCCCTGCCGGGCCACGCCGAAGGCCACCATCCACACAGCAAAGAGAAACAGGAAGAAGAACACGTCGATCAGCTGCCGAGGGAGGAGATCAGAACAGTTAGAACTATGCCCTCGGAGGCTGGCTACGAAGCCTGGCCATTCCTAGCCAGCCACAGAGATGGGCAGAGAGAAATTCAAGGACCCAGAGAGTTTAAGTCATCGAGCTGCCTGGCCACTTCTTATTTATCTCATACCGACAGACTGACTTAACTGTGGGGGTTAAGACCCTGGTGCATGCCAGGCAAGTACTCTACCACTGAGCTGCCCTCTCAACCCTCAGCCACTAATTTAAAAATAGAATACCACCTGTAGGTTTGCAGATGTCCCCGGAATGAAACCCAAACCCTACACTATTGCTTGCTGGGCTCCAAAAGCTCAGACCCGGCCGCTTTGTGAGAGAGGGCCCAGCTCAAAAACCAGAGGGCCTCTGCCTGGGGCGAGCTGGCTCCAGGCCACACCCGGCAACGCTGGCATTCTTTCAACCCCCAAATTATTTTTACAGAATTGCTTTTTCGGAAAACAAAGCAGCCCTTATGAGACAACAATAATGTACTTTTTTTTTTTCTGCTGTGTTTTGCACACACAGCTTGATATCATGGTGACTGGGTGCCTGAGAGGTGCTTGGAGTTAAAACCACACATTCAGCCTCAGCATTGGAAAGGGATGTCCACATGAGCTCATCCAGCGACCCATCTGATTTCCAGACAGAACCAGCCCTGGGGAGCAACAACCCAGCTTGCCATGTCCTCGTGATGTGTATGTAGCACAAGCCTGGTGGGGCCTTTCTCCCACACTGGCATTACAGGGTGTGGAATTTAGGACCCCATCATCTGTAGGCATCTGGCTTAACCATTTGTCTCTAGAGAAATGCGTTCACCTCCTTGAACTAGAATAAGCCCATCTATTAAAAATGGCATAAAAGGCCCTCCCTGCATATGCTCTGAGAGAGCTGTTCAGACTCGAATGGGAGATGCTACAAAGTGTGAACTCTCAGGAAACCCCAGTGACTTGACGGCACTGTTGTTTTTTGTTGTTGTTGTTTTTTTTCCCGAGACAGGGTTTCTCTGTGTAGCTTTGCGCCTTTCCTGGAACTCACTTGGTAGTCCAGGCTGGCCTCGAACTCACAGAGATCCGCCTGCCTCTGCCTCCCGAGTGCTGGGATTAAAGGCGTGCGCCACCTCCGCCCGGCCTAACTGTTGGTTCTTTATAGTCCTCTTTCCTAAAATCTCCCCCTGGAAGTGGCCTCTGGTAAAAACAGTAAAACCAAATGAAACAAACAAACAAAAAACCCACAAGCTATGCCGTGAACAAAATCCTCCCGTCGGCCATGGACTCTGGGCAGAGCAGGAGGAGGACACCTGCTGGTGTTGCTGGGCAAGAGGAGGACACCTGCTGGTGTTGCTGGCCCCTACCATTCGCTGTAGCATTATGATCTTGGGTCCTAAGTTCCGGCTAACAGTGAAAATGTGGATGAGCCTTAGGATGAATATGATGTAATCCAGACAGAAAATGACTCGCCCGGAGTACAAGGAGCTGGTGTTAGAAGAGTGGAGCCTGTGGAGAGAACAGGAGAATGTGTGGGGCACGACACGACAGTTCACAGTTCACCATGGTGTGTGTGTGTGTGTGTGTGTGTGTGTGTGTGTGTGTGTGTGTGTGTGTGTGTGTGCGCGTGCATCCTGGTGTGCACAGCAGGTGTCTCACTCTGATGCTTTCCATCTCGAGTTCTGAGACAGGGGATCACACTGAACCTGGAGCTCACCGACTCAGCCAATGAGCTCCCACACCTGCCTATCTTGCCCCAGCCTGGGTTCGGGTTACAGATGGGTACTGTCATCCTCAGCTTTGACACGGGTTCTGTGCGTCTGAACACAGTCCTCACACTTGAATGGCGGGCACTCTTCTGACTGAGCCGTCTCCCCGGCTCAGTTTAGCCTTTGGTCATCATTTGAGATTTTGTTGTCTTTTCACACACTCTGGCTGTGAGGTTGGAGGGATAGACCGATACCTGTTCGGGTGACTGCGGGGCCAGCATGCTGGCCAAGGTCACATGAGCCTTAAACTGAGTGGGCCAAAATGGATCAACATTGGAAGACACTCAACATGCCCAGTACCTTCTCCTTGGATCCTAATTATGCCCCCCAAAGCCTATTTGAGAAACAGAAAGGGAAATTGTGAAGAACACAGGATGGGGGAAAAGGAGTAATTTATGTTGTCCAAGTTGTGTCTCCAAAGGGCTGGGGCAATGGCCTCTTGTGGCCCATCCATGGACCTGAGATGTCCAAGATTTTTTTTCTCCATTTTTTGTGCCCCAATGCCTGAGGGTAGGAAGGTGGAAGGAGCCACTTACCGGAAAACGATACCCGCTATGAAGTAGAAGATCCCTAGTGTGTCCATAACGTTCCACAGGTCGGTAAAATAATTCACTCCACTCATGTACCACTGTGACAAGAAAGGGGCAGACAAAGAATGGGCAGCTTGGACACCAGTCCTGCAGACTTGCAAATGTCCACTCAGCTCCTCCCAGGGCACTGTCGAGACGTCTGTGTCAAAGCCCTAGCTACCAGAACCCCATTGTCCCAAGGGCACCGGAAAGACAGCCGCTCTCATGTGCAGCTGTCAGAGTGGAGAGAAGGGGCTGTGTTCTCCCGTTCTCTCGAAATGAAGCCACAGAGAACAAGAGTGATCTGTGTGGGAAAACATGGTACAGCCGGGTAACCACGGACAGCAGTGTAGACTGCACAGTTACCAACCGTCACCCCGACTGCCGTCACCACAGATTGTGTATCTACTGTGAAAATTATAATAGAATGCACACAGTAGGACAACTTGATTAGTGGAACCCTTTTAAAATATGAACAGGGAGGAAAGATTATTAACTGGACTCCACAAACTAGGTTTGCAGAACTCCAGCCTAGCTGTACAGTCCTTCCATTTTCCTACCTGTTCAGAATCTGGCTACTGGGAGCCCGAGGGCCAGATCCCGGGACAGCTCAAAACAGGGGGCAGTGGATTCAACAAGGTGTGGTACTGACTCCCATAAAAGACGGATGTCCGTGACTTCCCATGAACTCACCCACCCAAGTCTATCTGGATCTCGGATATCCTATCTCCTACTTTATCCCAGATCCCACGGCCAAGACAAGGTGGCTAAGGTGCCCGTCCTGGGAGTGGTGGGCTTCTCAGACCCATCAATATCCTGCACTCTGGAATGTAGAGGGGGGCAGGGCACACAGCGTGAGTGGGCAAAGGAGGAGAGCATCCTTTGCCAGATCACGATAGAATGGTGAACTCCCCCAGGTCTGGGTAGCCTGGGTCAGACCATGTTCCACCACGGCTCCCCACTGGTTCAAAGGTGAGGACCCTGGGAAGAACACAGTGCAGTGTTGATCCCCAGGGCACCAGCAGCCATTTGCTACTCCATGCCTGCTAAGATGAGAGGGCTTGGCACAGGCCCTGCCCACCTGTTCTCCTTTTCCTCCCTGCTGGGAGTCTGATACATTCTGATCCTTGCTATCCCAGCCCATCCTCACCTCAAGGACTCGCCTGACCTGTATTACAGGAATAATGGACGAACCCTGGGCCACTAGAATACCACTGCAGGGAGAAAAGATTTCGGGTTTTAAATGAAAAGAAGCCTCTTGCCTAATGGGGAAAGTGCAAGGCTAAGCTGTGTTCATGAAATGTGTTCATTCATCGTCTTCTTTCACCGTGATGGCCCAGGAACTAAAGGAACTTTTGGAGAAGGCGGGGTGGAACTTACCACATTTTAAACCAACATTCACCGCATCTGCTTAGCTCTGCTAGGAGAGAGTCAGCTCGGTCTGCACTGTTGACTGTCTAGGTTAGAAATCCCCAATTAGCTGTGAGCATCCTTCCCTGAGCAAGGGACATCACCTGTCACCAGAGAGCATTGGGTTTCTGAGCCCCAGGTACAATTTAAAACAGACAATGTCCTGGTTAGGGGTCTCCCCTAACAACGGTGAATCTTGTCTGGTAAAACTGCACAGGCCTGCTGAGCTTTTCCTTGAAGGAAACTAACCCAGTTTAGGAATCTAAAGAGAAGGTGCTGCAGAAATGAAGGGGAATGGCGCCCTCTAGTGACAGATTCCTGAAGGACAAAACTTCACAGCCACAGCCTGCAGACTTGCTCATGTTTTATCAGTCATTCCAAGAAAAGGCCACCAGGGTTTCTCTGATCAAAAGGGAGTGAGGACAGGGTCCCTCTGTCTATCTTCTCATCTCTGGCTTCAGTAGCCATGACCATGGTGACCCTCAGGAGTGACTTATGAGCACCCTGCTTGTACCTTCCTGTATTAACACCACATTCTCAGCTTCAGCAAATGGAAGTCTAAAGTAGATCACCCTCGCTTGATGCTGTTCTGGGGACCACCAGAGCATGTGTCAGGACCCGGGGAGCTCAGAGGACTCCCTGATGGGGTCAGTACAAGAGAAGACAACGCAATCTCTGTTTCTGCTTCTTTCAGGAGTTTCTTCAGTAGGAAGTGCACCCAGAGGAAGGGAAGAAATCAAATCACTACACATCACTTACTGCCTATTTGCAATTCCAGCTAGGTTTTTCCTCTCTCTCCCCTCCTTTCCTTCGCTGCCCCCTCCCTCCCCACGCAGTCCTCATGACTTAATCCCCTACTGGCTCTGAGTCCACTGACCCTCTAACCCAGGCAGTTCTTCTCTGAATGCTGAGTGTCCCCTCACTCTGATTATCACACAGAGTACTTCCGCCCCACTCTGCTAGTGACTCATCATAAGCCAGAAAGAGGACTGGGGAGTAAAGACTGGCCGCAGAGACAGAGGCTATATGGAAGTGCTGTGGGCTGAGTTATAGCTCCAGACTGAAGTCCTCAGCCCTCTACCTGGGAACGTGACCTTGTTTGGAAATCAGGTCACTGCAGATGGAACTGGACAGGTCAAGATGGAGCTCTGATCCAACATGACTGTTGTCCCCAGGAAGTGGAGAAATTAGGACACACCTGCACATAGGGAGGACACCATATGGACCTGAAGCCAGGGGTCAAAGTGTCACATCCACGGGGCACAGAAGGGCAAAGATGGCCAGAAAACTTCCAGGAGCCAGGGGATAGAATAGAATAGTTTTCTTCCTAGAACTAAATGGGGCCAGCCCAACCTACACCCTCTAGTTGGTCTTTAGCCCGCCAGAACTCTAGGCAGTCCACTGTTCTTCAAGCCATCCTCTGTGTCTTGGGACTTTCTTCCTCCACCTCTGCTGACACCCCACCACCTTCCACACCAATTACCTACTAGTCAAGAAGACAGATACATAAGGGCACCAATGACAAGACCCCTCCCAGCCCCCACATCCATAATCACTAATCATACCCATGCTGAGAACAGACAAACAAGTCCTCGGAATCCCTCGCACACCAGGAGTCCTGGAGACTGCACATAAAGATCTATTGGCGAGAGTTGTCATGACAACTTAAGCCAACTTCGTGTTCTTAGACTAGTCGGGGCCCTACAAGGGCAAGAGCAGCACTGCTGTCCTCTGAAATCTCTTCCACCACCGGGCCTTTGTAAACTGTAAACAGCCCGTAAGTTGTGTACCTAGCACACACTTGCTAAATGGTGTGTATTTTAAGGTTCGGGTCCAGAAGAGACAACAAAATGACAGCAGAATCTGAAAGGACTTCCTGAGACCAGTTTTCATCATGGGTCAGGACGGCGCCATCTTCACCGTCCACATGAATTTCCTCAACGTCTACTACCCTGCTAAGTACCTGTTCCATAAGGCCTGGGGTAGAGTATGCATTCAGTGGCAGAGCAAGGATCCCCCAAACCTACACAGTCTAAGAAACTGCACACAAGGACCAGAAAGAACCCACAGGGATTATTACAAGACTTGATGTGCTAGGAATTAGGGGGCTTTAGATGGACAGGCCCCCAGGTCTCGTTGCTTGGCAAGCTATCCCTGGTGATGGTGAAGGTGGGTGTGCAGAAGGCTCCCGATGATGGGGGAGCTCAGTCCAAGGTCTCTCAACCTCTTCCTCTGTCCTAGGTTATTTCTGTTGCTCTGATACAAACACTCTAACTAAGAGTAACTCAGGGAAGAAAGGATTTGTTCGACCTCTCCTTCCAGGTCACACTCCATTGCTGAACGAAACTAGAGCAGGAACACAGGGGAACATTACTTGTTCACAAGCTCATGTCCAATTGGCTTTTTTATACAGCCCAGGACCACCTGCCTAGGGATGGTGCTGCCCACAGTGGGCTGGGACCTCTCCATTAATTAGCTATCAAGACAATCCCCCACAGACATATTCCCATGCCAATTTTTTCTAGATGACTCCTCAGTTGAGGTTCTCTTCTGATGACTGCAGGCTGTGTCAAGCTGGCAATTAAAGCCAAGGCAGGCATCTTCCTTGGCTGAGCCATGCCTGTCAGTTAACATTAGTTAGGGAACATGGCATGAATTTAATGCTAAGAGATCTCACCGGGGTGCTTAGAATTTGAAAATCACCTTCAGGTCCATAGACCGGGTAGGAATCTACTTGCGGCATAATGATTGCATTTGTACTTCACAAACAGCTCCAATTGCTCTTGGTGTAGGGAAGCTGCTCCCCACTGCCCGCACCTTGGGGAAGTGCCCAGTGCTGTCCCTGTTTCCTCTTTATGGGAACATCCTCTCCTCCAGATTGAAACGTTCTCTCTTGGCATGGCAAGGAGGCTCAGAGGACTCGGAAAGTTACAGGACTCACAGGTGCCTCCCCAAGGTTGTATGTTGGGGAGGAGACTCTGGTAGAGCAATTTGTCCCCAGATTAGGCTTTGAGTTCCCGAGATGCAGCTTTCACGTGTCTGGGTGGACTTTTGATGATGTAGCTGCCTTCGAGTCACCCACTCTCTTATCAGTTACCCCAATAAGGTCACCGGTTCCGTAAACTAGACTCATGTGGAGTCATCTCTCTGGTGTGTGGTCAGTGCCTCGTCTGGCACGAACAGATGTGTATTCACTCTCCCTGGGAAGAGCAACACAACTCTTGCCTACCTGCCTCACTTCATCACAAAAGAGGACGAAGACCAGGGCGTAGAGGATGAGCTCGGGGGTATGCGGCACCGAGTGGAAGTCCATGAGCAGCACATAGGCAAACAGCAGGAGGAAGGCGATGTAGAAGACCACGTTCCAGGAGAAGACCACAAAGGGCGACGTGAAGAAGGCCACGTAGTACCAGAGCAGCTTCTTGTGCTTGTCAATGGGCTTCTTCCTGGAGCAAGCCAGAGGCAGGACAGAGTCACCAGCCACACATACTCACACACACTGATACACACCAACACAATCACACACACACACACACACACACACACACACACACACACACACACACACACACACGAAGGGCTATGGCTTATTTCCCACCACAGACAAGGAATAGACAGGGCAAAACTAGATCCTAAGGCTGACCCAGCCAAGACACGACCCTTGTTTTTTGTAATCAGAGAATCCAAATTCAGCCTCAGATAGTGAAGACAACCTCAGGCCCACCTGCTTGAGATCCAACCCAGAGAAAGCCAGGAAGACACCGGACCAAGCATACAGATGCCACCATGGATGTTCTAAGTTCTAGGCTTACAACCATTTACACAGATGCTCAAACACACACACCACACAGATGCTCACACACATGATTAGATACCCCAGTCCACACCTAAATGATACAAGGCCACAGCCCACCAGGGGGATGACAAACAGACACAGGATGATCTTCCAGTTCTTTGTGTCTCGGGAAATCTCTCCATACCATTGCTTAGAAAGAAAATTCTAGAAGGAAACAGAGACAGAGAACACAGTCCTTGTTGATACAAGTATATGGGGAACAGGACACCGCCATTCTTCCCAGCCCTGCACACTCCCGAAATATTTAACCTCTACATTAATGGCTTTAATTTTTCAGATGTTGTCTGGATTCTAAGGCATGAAGAAGCAACTTAAAATTCTGTTTGATTTTCAAGTCTGTTTTTCTAAGTTCAATTCAATGAGCTTTAAAAAAAGAGAGTGGCATGACTGAAAATTCACTAAACCTATGAATTTTTAACTACTATAATTCTTATTTGCGTAAGCTTAAACAAGTATGGGTCTTCAGAGATGCTAAGTTCAAAGGCAGGGCCAATGCAGTCTGTGGAGTCCCCAGGGGTTCCTGGGGGGAAGCAGACAGATGTTTTCATTCTGAAGCTAAAAGGAAGTCAGGAGAGGAGTGGCTGATAAAGTCAAGATGGAATGCATGGGGACCCTCCCCCTTATTCACTGTGCCGGCCCCGAAGGTGGGGCCAGGAAGGGCTTCCCTGACAGTGGAAACTGGAAACATCATATTGCCATCAAAAGATAGACAGGGACAGGGGACCTGACCACATCAAAGAAACCACAGCTGTAAAGCAAAGCAAGCAAGCTGGGCGGGGCTTGGCATGTAAGAGGGTGGGGCTTGGCATGTAAGAGGGCGGGGCTTGGCATATAAGAGGGCGGGGCTTGGCATGTAAGAGGGCGGGGCTTGGCATATAAGAGGGCGGGGCTTGGCATGTAAGGGGTGGGGCTTGGCATGTAAGAGGGCGGGGCTTGGTTGTAAGAGGGTGGGGCTTGCATGTAAGAGGGCGTTGCCAGGGCCCGCTCATTGCCACTAAGAGGACTGGGACCAGTGAGCTCTGGACACAGCCCTGCACCCGCTCTTCTACTGGGTGGAGGACAAGTGCTTCTCTTGTGTGCCCTGCATGTCCTCTTGGGGCTACTCCACAAATATGTGCTTGACTGAGGAGGGGCAAGATAGACCCCAGAAAGAGCACCTAGCAAGCAGCATATTGGGACACCCTGGGACTTGCAGCAGGCTCTACAGGGGACCCAAAGGCTCCCAAGAGCTCCAAGGGCCACCTTCCTTCCTAACACATCATGTCTGCTTCTTCCTCCCCCAAATCACTGCCTGCTGAACACTTCCAGCTCACCTCCAGAGCAAACCGCTTACACTAAAAGCCTTGTCTGGGGTCTGTTTGCCCGCCACCTGGAATAATGCAAATAGGAGGCAATCCACAGAGGATTAAATCCCAGCACTACTACTTCCTAGCAAGCAAGCATGGGAAATGTTCCAGAACCTCTCCGAGCCCTGAATCCTCAAAATAAAATGAATTACATCCACCTCCGCAAGCAAGGTGCCGATGAAAGCGGTAACACGCAGCAGCCCTTCCCTCTCTCCCAGCCTGCCGAGATCTACAACAGTCTAGTGCAACTGTGGGCGCAGTTAAGCTGCTGCCTGCCTAACTCGCCTCAGGGTCAGCTTCGTCGGTCTCTTGATTTCTCCATCACTCACCGTGACGGCCGTGGTAGCGGCCGACACAGCTGACCTTCCCTTTCACACAGAATTCCGTGGCGTCACCATAGCAACTCTCAGACAAGCACAGCCCTGCTGCCTGAGTAAGAAAATCCCCCACAGGCTCATGGGCTTGCACACCTCATCCCCAGCTGGAGATGCTGTTTGGGGGAGATTCTTGGGTCTGGCTGGTGGAGGGGGCCCACCGAGGGTGGGCCTTGGAGAGTTACAGCCTAAGCCGGGTCCCACTCCCACTCCTTGCTCTCCAGTCCACCGGGACTGAAGTGTCACACCACCGTGGATTCTGCTGCATGGGTTGAAACTATGAGCCAGACAGGTCTCTCCTTGTTTAAGTCATCTCTGCCATTACTTTGTCCCGGAAAAATACCTAACATGCACAACTCTGCCCATTTCACAGATAAAAACTGAGGTCCATCATCTCACATCTGCTTTAAAGGACCAAGGCCTAGGTGGGGGACCTAGAGACAGCTCATCATTGTAATTTTGCTTTGTGGAAGGCCAAAGAATTCTTTCTCCTTGCCATGTGTCTCATTTCTGTGGCTGTGATAGAAATCACCTGACGAAAAGTGTTGTGCCCAGATCGTGACCCCCAGAGAGACCACCAAAGACGAGCATGCCGGAATGCAAAAGCAAGGTTGAATTCTGGATATCCAAAAGCAATACAAGCATAGGCAGGGACTTCGTCCAATACATCCAACGCAGTGGAGGCTGGAGGAAGTGTCCACCTATCTGTAAGCTCAGTTTTTAAAGGGAAAAGTCACAAGGTTACATCATTTAGGGGTGCTAGTATGGGTACAATTCTGATTGGCTCTCTTCTAGGGGCTTTCTAGAAATCATGGCTTAATTTTACTTCTAAGGAAGCGGTTACCTGCCACCATTTCTCATTGGCTGCCCTCAGGTGGGGACACTTTTATGGTCAGTTGCCCTGGAAACCAGGGTTGGAACATTCTATAGTCTGGCAGTCATTACCTCGTGACTACCTTGTGACTCTGTACTTTTACACTTCCTGGTTTCTGGAATTTGGACTGACTTGTTTCAGTAACTATTGGCCTATTCCTAGAAGGAGAAATCTTAGGCCTTAATTTTAGGGTGAAAGCATTTTGGTCTTATTTCTAAGATGGCTCATTTTGGTCTCACAAAAGCACAGTTTTTATCTTAGAGACAGGTGTTATCTTAGCTCACAGTCCGACATCACAGTCTATCATTTCAGGGACATTAAGGCAGGAGCTTGAGGCACAATGACATCCACAATCAAAAGCAGAGAGAAATGAATGTGTACTTCATGTTCAGCTAGCCTTCTCTACTCTTCTACAGTCCAGGATCCAAACCTAGGAAACAGTACCACCCATAGTGGGCCAGGTCTTCCCACATCAGCCAAGGAATCAAGGGAACCCCCCACAGATACATCCACTGGCCAACCTGATCCAGACAATCCCTTCCTGAGACTCTTTCTGGGTGATTCTCCAGTGTGTCGAGTTGACAATTAAAGCTAGGCATCACACTGTGGCTTGGATCTTAGATATTTTCCAAAGACTCATCCCTAAAGGCATAGTTTCCAGTGTGACACTTGGGAAGTTGGTACGATCTTTAAGAGAATGGGACCTAGGGGAAGATCTTAGGCCACTGGGGGACCTCAAAGGGACTTTGGTTCCTCCTCTCTCCCACTCCCCTTTGCTTCCTAGCTGCCATGAGATGCTCTGGCCAGAACACCCTGCCTCATTGAGCACCGAGAAGCAATGGGCACAACCAACGATGAGCTAAAACCTCTAGACACTGTGAGCCAAAACAAACCTCTCCTCTTTTTAAGACGATTACCTCAGGCATTTTGCCACAGTGATGGAAAGTTGACTGACACACTCCTGTACCATCTTTGAGGTGAGGCTTTTCACAAAAGCAAATGTGTCATCATCCTTCAAATTGTCACCCAGGCACTCCCTCAATGGTCTTTACACAGGATGAGAAAAGTAGACTATCAATGTCATTTTCTTAATGCCACTGGTAGTGTGTGATGTCAGGCCCACTTCTGGTACACTTTTCAGGGTCTGGCTCTTGCTTACCTGGACCCCAGGCTGAGCGATGAAATGCTGGTCTGTAGCCTCCACCGCCAGCTCCAGACAGTTGCTCCCTCCCCAGGCTTCACAGGAGTAGACCAGTAGCTGCTCTGCCAAGTCTTCGTCATTGCTGTAACACTCGGTGAACAACTCTGCGTCATCATGGAGGGGGGCAGCTGGGCTCAGCTACTACACATGGAGCCTAGCCTACCTACCCCCGTCAACACCTGAGCAGATGGGGCATGAGGATCCAGGCACAGAGAAAGCTGTCCAAATGTGACCTTTACTACAGAGATGCTTTCTTCAGACACAACATAGTCGTCAGGGCTCTTGGATGCAGAGGGTATTGATACATGCTTATGAAATTGAGCTGCCTTCAACACCTAGGGAGTGCCCTCTCTGACGGGATTCTGTCCGGACACAGGCAGAAGGCCTTGCTCTCTGGGAAAGACTCAGGATCCTCTACTCCTCCTTACCTAAAACAGCCCCTCCCCATCCCAAGCCTTCTGAGGGACACTCACCCACTGCTCGGGTCTCGTACTCATTGGCCAGTTCCTCTGATTCTCCGGCAGCGTTGATGTCATTCTTGACTTTAGCCAGGGTCTTCAGAAGTTTGCTGGCCCCCAAGGCTGCCAGAGTACAGCCTTTGGTCTTTTGAAGGGGAGCAGAGATGCAGAAATGTTGGTTAATTCATAATCTCTTGAAGCAGTAACATGCACATTAACTTTTGAAAAATATAGACAAGCAGGAAATGGCAAAGTCAACTATTCATTGCGATTCAAAGTCAGGTCTGTAATGTGCTCGGGACAGACTTGGACCTCAGCAAACTATTCCTGGTCTTGTAGGTGGAATCAGCATATAAAAAGAAAATCCCTGGGTAAATATTGGGAGACATCAGGTCTCTGATGGCGGGAAGCCTAGCTGACCCATCATCTCAATGTTATCATGCTGGAACAGCCAGGACACAGGGAGAGTGAATGAGAACATTGAAGACCTGAGCCATGTAACCAAAGGCTGTGTCTGAATTCAGCAAGCAAGGGATGAAGTAGAAACAGAAGCACAGGTGTCCATATTTATAGAAATAGTGACATACCAAACCATAAGAAAATTCTCAATAACTACTTCAAAGCAGAATTTTTTTATAGGCCCTACCTCCTGGTTCATAATGGAATATAGCTAGAGATCATTGTTTTTATTTTAATCTTATTATTACTTAGTACTGGGGATCAAACCTAAGGCCTTGTGCACGTGAGGTAAGGACTTAGGAATTAATTTCTTAAGTTAAATTTCAAAGCTTCTTATACTTGGAAAAAATGCACAGTCACCTGGGGAGCAGGAGTGTACTGGAGGACGCCTACCTGACTCCTTTCTGGGGACCACCCATCCTAGGCACGCCTCCAAGGACATGCAACCAGAGGCATAACCATGGACCTGGGCACCACAATCCCCAAATTCTAAAGTAGGCACATGAGTGTAGGTTAGCCCAGACTCCTATAACACAGCATGTATTTGGCACCAATTTAGTGTGGGCCTGGACATTTACCTGCTCCCAGATGACCTTGGAGAGTTCCTTTTTGTTCTGAAGGATGGCCCAGATGAAGAGAGCTTGCAGGGGGTGCCGGGTGGTGAGAGATGCATCCTGAGGGGGGTCAGAACATCGGGTCACCACATGCAAATGTGACCCACTTTAGGCCCACTATCCTAACAGTGAAATGGGATGGTCAGAAAGATGAGAAACAGCCCTCTGTTTGGAGACCCCCTAGGGCTTAGGGCTGAGTCTGTTTTACAGCATGGTGGTGTGGTTCTCATTGTTCACTGCAGCTCAGCAGGTGGTGTGATTTGACACAAAATCTTTCATCAAGCATAAAAGACAAAGTACAACTGTATGAGATGGTATGAAGGGGGAAAATGTGCTGGGAGCAATTTAAAGACTAAATGACTTTGGATACACCATGGAGAAAGCAATTCTTCTCCATTCTATAGATCAGTTTCTCACCTAGAGGGAACTCGTGGTCAGATTAAATCTAACTTTCCTGTGGCTTACATCCAATTGTCACGGCATAAAATGTGCTTATTTCTTCGGACTGTTATTCGAAGATTGGAGGTCTGGCTCATATTTAAGGTTCTGCATCTTCCAAGGAATGTTTTCAGATGGAAAGTGGCTGTGTGTGTCCCCCTTCAGCTCCCCTGCTGATTTGACTAAACACTAAACTGTGCATACGAGGCCCAGTTATGCGCTGTGTCTCAAAATCCTGAGATAAGAATTTGAGGAAGGTGTTTTAGAGACTGAAGAAATGAAGTCAGAAAAGCAAGAGACCAGTAGTAGGCTCATCACCAAGCAGGCTGCCATGAAGCTCACTTCACTGTGCTCCTGAATCATCTCCTCTAGATGAGGGGCCGTTGGGACATTCAGTAGCCCTGGACTCTGATCAGAACAAATACTGCTAAGAATTGCTGATGCTGTTGAGTGGAACTGGACCTGCCCATACTCAAAAAGGAATCGCAGGGCATTCACATCTGCTCTGATGGAAATATCAGCTACTTCATTTATTCACAGAACTACTGGCAGTCCTTCACTTTTTCACCTGGGCAGCAGCTAGCTATTTTTGTAAACAGGCTGAACCACGAGCAGGCAGCCATCTGTTTGTCCCTGTTCCCCACCAAATAGCCTTAGAAAGTGTGTCACATGAGTCTTGTGATCTAGAAATGATGTAATTAAACAGAGCCAGGGGCTAGAGCGAGACATCAGAAAACTTACCAGTGACTTTATTCTTTAGGAAAGATGGTAGAGAAAATGCATGTCACCCTTCTAGCTGCTTTATGGCAATCAGGAAGAGAACAGGAAAAGTGGAGGCAGAGAACTGAATTCTGGGAATAGAAATATGAAAGCAGAGAACTGAATTCAAACAGACAGCTCCACCGTTACGTACATGGAGTTCTACATCCAAGTCCTCCCTGCTGCTTCTATCTTCCTTCCAGAAGCTTCTACGGAAGTTTGCCACCAGTTTCCAGACAAAGGTGAGGAGTGCGTCATTGTAGGAGTTCTTGGCGATCTGCAGATTCCGGTACACCAGGGTGCTGAAGTGGGTGGAGAAGAGCTCCGTGAGGACATCGTTAGTGAGAAACTTCTTCAGGTTCAGGCCGTTTTCCAGGAAGAGGCGGACAAACTTGGGCCTGTCCTTTATGAGGGCCGTGAACATGACTTCCTGGAGGTCGGCCGACTAAAGAGAAAGAACGGGAGAGAGAGCATACCATAAGACTAACAGAGTCCCAATGGCTCCAGCTTCCCTCTCTATCCTGCTTTGACAATAAAATTCATCTTTTCAGCATCCTGGTGGGAAAACAGGAAAGCAGAACCTTTGAGTGAGACCTGGGTTCTTACTTATGTGGAGAGAGCATGCCCACTTAAGCAGGAGATGGGCTAGGAGCTGACGCTGGCACTTGGCATAAGAAGCATCAGGGAGCAGAAGCCAATGTCAGGGGTCTACAGTAGACACGGACAGTGAACCAAGTGCCAGTGCTGCCCGCCCACTCCGTGGAATCTGCTGCCCTCTCTAGGTGAACTCTGAACATCTCCGCAGTACCAGAGTTCTCAGATGCCATTGCCCAAATGGAACCCATCAAGCCACATTCTGTCTAGTAATGGTCTGGGGTATGATACAGCAGTGAGTCACTGGAGTCTGTGTTAATACTTTCTGAGCACCTGGTAAAAAATATCCTACAGAGCTTTTCCAAGAATCCTTTTTTTTTTTTTCTTACTTATTTTTAGATAGGGTCTTAACTTGGTAGCCCAGGCTGGCCTGAAACTCACTACATAATCCATGATGGCTTTGGTTCATAGCAATCCTCCTGCATCAGCCTCCCAAATGCTGAGATGACAGGCAGAAGCCATGATGCCTTCCTAAGAGTCTAAAGAAAGATCAATGCTCATTTCAGCCACAATCCAGTAGATGCACACTGTGTCAGCTCTTAGGTGTTTTTAGGACTGCCATGATATTTATTACAAGTCAGTTTCATTGCCAACACTCACAGATTCAAAGGCTCATCAAGATTCTGTCTAGCATTAAAAGGGGAAGGTACAGAGTCTGACAACATGGAAACCTCCAGCAGAAGCCTATGGCATCTATTCTCAGGTACCCAGACTCCCCGGTGACCACTGACTCCGTGACTCCGCCCTGACAGCAGCCTACTTCACTCCCTCAGTTCCTCATCTGGCCCTCATTTTAATGGCAGCATTGGTGGTTTTTGTGTCTACCTGATGTTGTTTTTGTGGACTCACATTATGCCTAGGGGAAATTGTTAAGGGTTCCTTAGGTCCCCCATTCTTTAGCTCTCTCTGGGATCAGCAGGGCAGAGCTCACCTGGGGAGCATGGCATCTCCACCATCCTCAAAGCATGTGTCCATCACACCACTCTCTTGCATTTCGTTCTAAGCACGTGTGTGTCTTCCCACTGGCCCCACACTGGACAGAATGGGCTCTCAAACATGGGGACTTGCTACAACAAACAGACTGCTGGCCATCAACCTTGTTTCTAACTCAGCAAGCTTGAGTTAGAAACACTCTAGCACGCCTTTAATCCCAGCACTCGAGAGGCAGAGGCAGGCAGATCTCTGTGAGTTCGAGGCCAGCCTGGTCTACAGAGTGAGTTCCAGGACAGCCAGGGCTGTTACACAAAGAAACCCTGTCTCAAAAAAAAAAAAAAAAAAAAAGGGGAGGGGGGGAGGGAGGGAGGGAGGGAGGAAGGAAGGAAGGA